AGGGGGTCTCAAAAGCTCAGGAACAGCATGAAGACCGACGAGAAGTGTCCAACGAGGATTCAATCGGCGAAGGATTTGCTATACCATCCTCACAAGCCTGTGCCAGCGACATTCCCCGATGCGAAAGATGTTGACCCGGTAGCAATACAGCGTGAGCGACTCAGACGGATATATTTGCACAATATGAGGAGCATAAATGGTCTAACTTCAAGAAGGTGCTTCTGGGCCAAGCAGAAGGGCTGCGTTATAAAGTTGCTCGAGATGCCTGGAAGTGCGCTGACCGGCTCGTGTTATCAGAAGACGGCGTGCTTTACTATCTTGGATTGAATCGTCGGTACGACCACGGTTGGCAAGAGGAGACCAAGCTGCGGCTTGTGGTACCGACAACGATGATTCAAGAGGTCTTGCAGAACAGTCACGACTCGCTTGGACGGATGACATCAAGGTGTGGTGAGAACGTTCCATCGCGTTAAGTCTAATTATTATTGGATCGGCTTGTACGCTGACGTGGAGAAGCATGTGAACTCATGTCCAGATTGCAGCTCGAGATAAAGCCGTCTGCAGCTTCGTGGATACTCACCTGGCAACGTACTAGCCGAACGACCTTTCCGGATCGTCTCGATGGTTTTTGTGATCCCACTACCTAAATCTCGCAGGGGCAACACGGCGTTGCCCTTATTTCAGTGCTCGTTCACGGGATTCGTTATTGCCAAGGCTATGTCAGATACGACCGCACTGAGTGTTGCCCAAGTGTTCGAAGAATGTGTGTACCGACGGCTCGGGGCCCCATCATTAATAAGGCATGACCGCGACCCAAGCTTCATGAGCGAGGTGTTCCAAGCGTTCGGAGAGATGATGCAGTCAAGATCACGGGCGACTTTGAGCTATCGGCCACAGGCTAATGGACAGCAGGAACGCTCGGTGAAGTCGGTGATGGGTTCCGTACGGGTGTACGCGGAAGACCATCTACAGCAAGATTGGGACGAAATCGCGGAGAAGCTAGTATTTGCTATAAATACTACTCAAGACACTACGAGGAAGGATACGCCGTTCTACCTCGTTCACGGTTGGGATGTTCAGTCGACGTTGAGGGCAATGTCGTCATCACTTAAACGAGGACTCGGCAAGCAGTCTGACGCGCTAGCGTGGCGGCGTGAGATCAATCGGCAACATGAGGTCGCCCTCACTATGGCCAAAGATTGTCAGGCTGTAGAAAAGGAGCGAAGGGCTAA